GTGCAAAGCTACATCATTACATACTGGGAGTGACGTCCATCTTGGCAGAAAGCAAGGCACCCGTGTCCAAAACACTATACAGATTTTATGATAAAAGTAGCTCTGCATGCACGCAGTCAACCTGGAAAGATTTAGAATTTCCATCTATTTGTAGGTTGATTTTTAAAAAAAATCATTGTGATAAATGTGCATGTAACATCTGTGCCTGCAATACAACACATGAAATTAATTTTGAATAATTTAAATTTCTGCCTAAAGAACTGAAAACACAGTAGCGATAATACCGATAAAAATTCAATAAAATATAAAAATATAGTACAGGTAAAGCACAGTTAGAAACGGAAAATAATATAGTAGCAATATAAAACAAAACCCAAGGTGCCACGAAGAGTGAGCATAGTAAGAGATCAAGACAGAGCACACTCAGCAACCCAAAATACAACAAGGGTAGAGCTAAGTTAAAGATAAAAATATAGCACAGATAGAACACATTTAGGCAGCAAAAACCGGCAACACTTAAAGAGATCACGAATGTTGTATGGACAGAGAACAATTACAGACCAATCATATAGGACATAGCAGGCCTAAAATAAAAATAGCATGGTTGAAATGAACTTGACGAATGCAAGAATAGGAAAAATTTAAATTCACCATTGTATATATATATCTCATTTCTAGTTTTACTAAAGATAAACGTTAATTATGATCAACTAAGATGTACAAATAAGCTTCTTTTTAAACAGAAATCAAATCAAAAAGAGTGGTAGTTATTTAATATCAACACCAAACTTACTATTTAAACAGATTAAATCCTTTTGCTTAACTTACTTCCTTATCCAAGATGTAATTAAAACATCACAAAATAGTGAGAATAGTCTGAAATAATAAAATGCATGTAAATATTTACAAAATCTAGTTTTAAAACAATTTGTAAATGTAAAAAAACAACAACAAATGTTTGTAAAATCTAAAGAGGTACAAGGATAATCGAAAAAAATAATCATTGTTCCTTTAGAAAAATAGCAGGTGAAAACTGTTAATTATAAACACTTCACAGGTCACCTGTCAAGTTAATCTCTTTTGGTTAACCTTCACCCCCCATAAGACTTGGATTTTCTTTAATCTTTTCAAATTCATTCAAATTTCTTTTGTACAATTCAGTACAATCATTAAAAAATCTAACACTTGGTTGGAAAAACTTAGCAAGTTAAATCTCAAGAAAAACAGAAATAAAGATGACATTTTGTTCAGAATAATGATACATGAAAAGATGTAGATTAAACAAATATGGAGGAAAGCATAATTTATATTGGTGTTCTGAAGATTTTAATTCAGATTGCTTTATTATTTCATTACTTATCAAGTGATGACTATGCTATGTAAAGGTTTACTAGAGACTCTTTGAATCAAATAGGTATAAAATCAGCCATTTTGACTCCAATGTAATTAACAACAACAAAAAAAAACAACAACAACATATGCATGTATCCAGTAAATACAGCCAAAGTGACAATGTACTATCAACATTAACATGGCCTACCTTAACGTTTAGGGCTGAAGTTTGTGTACTTATCCTAATATATATATATATATATATATATATTTATTTTAAAATTTATGCATTCACATACAAAAATATTAAAAAAAAAGTTGCATAGCTAGACATGAATGTATCAATACATATCATCACTTATGATCAATGAAGCAGTTAGGTCTGGAATTTTATAAAATACACACAAAGCAGATATGATAAATTTAAATTGCAAAAGACCATGATTAATAACAGACAGCACAGAAAATCTTATAATTAGTAAAACTAAAAATTTAAGAAGCACAATAAAATATTTAGAGGCCTATAATTTAAGTTTTTACATTAAAGCATTACATATGCTTATAAGATATGATGCACACACACACAAAAATAACATTAATAGCTTCAAAACTAAAAATCAATAAACAAAAGAATCCCCAAACAACAGTACATTCCTGAGTTATGGGGCTAATGGTGGCCCTGCCTAACAATGTGTCATTAGAAATCACAGTCGAAATAGACTGATGTGTGTATTAAAACATACACATTATCTTTACAATAGGCTATTTCATTACTGGTACTCACCCAGGGGTACTAAATCTATACACACCAAAAGTCTGTAGTAATCACTGGCATGAAAAAAAAAAAAAAGAAATATCTTATACCTTGCTATTTGTGTAACAGCTTCTGCTACCTACATTTATCTATTGCAAGGTATCATGCACTGTTGTATGTACAAACTGACCCAGATTAGACATAGAGACTCCAGATACCCTTGTAGTTAATTATGAAGAGAAATTATCCTAGTGTTTATCTGTACACATTTCACATGTTGTCATTCTAGCCTAACAAAAATACAACATTAAGCACTAATCTACTTAACACTAAACTGCACTGAGCTCAAACAAAGAATCTTATGCACTTTTTTCTTAAAGTATCCTATTCTTTCACTATACAAAAAATTTTTGTATTACTTTTCAGAACCTCTGCTTCACAAATACAAATTTGACAGAGCTTTTCTAATATAAAAAATCTGAGTCTCAGTTATCTCTCCTCAAATGTAACCGAGTTCCTTGTTGTTTTATATTTTAGATATTTATCCAAAATCAATATCATACTCTAATGTAGGCATCGACAAATATTTTCAAATCTAGGAGCCAGGAGTGCCTAACCTAACTTCACTACTGTTTGTACCGGGAAATGGGGGCTACTGTATATTTATTTAGTTTCACAGCAACGAGTGCATGCTAATGATCACATGATATAGTACTGCCTGAACTAACTGCCTTTGGTCCCATCTGAGTCTAAACAAGTGCACTGATTAGTTGAATTGAGAGAAAAAAGAAAACAAAATGGCACGAAGTTAGTAACGTGTTGTGCAAACACAGTGCTTCATTCCTGAAAAAAAACACAAAGTGCTGAATCCACCATTAAAATCATGGAAACAGAGTTTGATTTAGGACTCAAAGAATGTGGAAATAGTTCCAGACTTCCAAGAGTCCAGAACCGTTCTAGATTCGAGTCCTTTTTAGTACAGACCTATGCATAAATAAAATGGGAGAAAATACTAGGTGCCACGATGAAATTTTTACTCGCCATGACGACCTGGTGCCAGGATTTGTCAAAGCCTGCTCTAATGTCAAATTTGTACATGCTCCATGTTATTTTATTTAGTCTTTATAAATATTTATCAATACTTGTAAAAACAAATGAATTGGGTCACAGAAAGCCTTAAGATTCATTGATATAACCTTCATGTGAAAGTTTCCCTTCCCATTCATAAACCAATCCAACAAAGACTTCAACCAAGAACCTCTGGACTATTAGAACATCCTATGCCATCTGAGAAACCACTGCACAAAGTAACAGATAAAATGTGCCTTGAGAACAAGGCTTAATCTAGATTTCCAGTGTTACATCGCATATTCAATTCACAAATACTAACCTTGTAAATCATAAAAAAAAACCTTCCATCTAGACCCCTAACACTTTTACAAATTTATATCATATAGCATCTAACTTATTTAATTAATACATAAATAAAGAGGAAAAAAGTACAACCTTTAAAAAATGTTTGTTCACATTTTTTAATCACTTCCAGCAGTGTTAAGAAAGAAACAAAATTTTATTTCCAGTAAGTTAAACATATCAGTTTTGTTTCTTGACCAAATTGATCCCACCAACACTTGTTACCTGCAACAAACTGATGCATTAAATCCTTCTCACTTGTGTTGTTCCATTAACATCAATGGAACTGATAATGCATACACTTTAGTATGGTTGTGGTTAAAAGTTTCTACATTTTGAGGATCAATTTATGGAAAATATCCCTCATGTACATAAACCTGTCTCTTTTAACCATTTTATATGCTCTTGAAGTTATATCATTATTTAATAATTGATCCGACTTTGAATCATCTGTTATGTAGGCTCGGCCAACTTCAAATTCTGTGACCACTTATAGATCCACATGTAAAGGAATCCTCACCAGACACATTTTTAACCACTCATCTATGCATCAGCCTTTTGACCCCCCCCCCCTCCTTCACTGAGAATTTGATTACAACTAGTCATTCAAAATCAACACCACTTACAGTTTCCATTCTGTTCCACCTCATCCATCTGGGTAACTGTACCACTAGCAACAGATGCATACCAACCTACTAACACATCCATTCAGCAACTTAATTGTATTGAATGATATACTGTAAAGAAAATTCAATTTCTTCATGAGTCACATCCATACAATGGTATTTTTGAAAACCAAACTGACATTTTTAACAGGAATTTTAACTTTTTTAAAACAAGTCTTCTCTGACTGCGCTCATACACACATATATATACATGCATGTGTGTCATTTACATCATTTATAGACAGGCTGATAAAAAAGGTTGCAAAAAGATTTTAATACAGCGTACTACACTGAAGTGGAGAGACATTCCAAGACACTGTATAAAATACCTAGCATTCTATTTAATGAAGTTTAAACAGATTTTATATACTACTCCATTGCCAAACTGCTTTCTTACATGAACTACCAAAATAGTTAAGAAAGAATAACACACAAACATGTACTTCTAAAATAAACATTTTTCACAGTAGAAACAATGATCACAGCTATGTGATGCATGTTTATCAACAGAAATATAGATAGACAAGTAAATAAACTGCAGTAAAACTTCATTTAAAACAAAAGTAGCAGCCATGAAAACCCTTTTTAGATAATGTCTGAACTACAATACCATCACTTAAAACTAATGAGAATACAAAAGGCCCTTTCTTAGATTAAGGTAATCAATGAATGTTACATATACTTAACCGTATCACAAGAATCATACAGTATTTTATCTTGAAGTGTGTGTGTAGTAATTCATCTAGAAGTGAAACATCCTACAGATAAATGAAACTGTGTGGACAGCTTTATACAAAATTACTCCTTACATCCTGACAAGGTGTAAAACTGTGTGAACCTGCTACTATGAGGACAGCTTTATACAAAATTACTCCTTACATCCTGACAAGGTGTAAAACTGTGTGAACCTGTTACTACGTGCACAGCTTTATACAAAGTTACTCCTTACATCCTGACAAGGTGTATTACTGTATTACTGCGTGAACCTGTTACTATGTGCACAGCTTTATACAAGATTACTCCTTACATCTTTACAAGGTGTAAAACTGCGTGAACCTGCTACTCTGTGCACAGCTTTATACAAGATTACTCCTTACATCTTTACAAGGTGTAAAACTGTGAACCTGCTACTCTGTGCATAGTTTTATACAAGATTAGTCCTTACATCCTGACATGCAGAGAATAATCATACTGTGGATAATATACTTAAATAGACACATACATGTAATCTTGTACCTCAAGTATTTTCTAAAGGTAAACCCTCCTTCACCAAAGATAAAAATGTAGTATCTAATATTTCATGCATATATACATATAGTATGCATTTTAAACATTTATATGGGCATCAATGTGTGTACCTTAGTGCTGTTTATTATGTTTAATTAATGCAATGAACACAATAATTATGTCCTGAGAGTATTTTATCCTCTGTTCATCAAAGGTGTTTTTTTCTGACAGACATACAAACATATTCCTGTACAGGTTTTACAAACTATGTCATGAATTTTTCACACAAGGCTTATACAAACCTGTGAGCAAAAATGGCTTCCTTTTCTACACTACACATAAAAATATAAAAAGTGTCATTTATGAAGCTAGGTAAACTGTGAGGTGACTTACAAATAAGTGTATAGTTATCCAAACCCAGAACATTTCCTTCCTATAAAACAAACTTCATTACTGGAAAGTAAAATTAAATTAAGGTCTTTAAAAACAAATTACAAACATAAACATATAAATAAACAACTTTTCATATTGTAACATTTTTTTTTGGCAAGTTAAAACTTCTGTTTAACTCACAATGACAATCTTTCTGCTTTTTTAAGGTAAGCTAATATTGTCAATTAAACACGTTTGATCAAAAATTGGGAACTAAGCTCAAAGCTAAGGCAAATGTGTGTTTTTACTTATGACAGTTAAATTTATGAGCCTGAAGAAAAAAAAATTGGAAAAGATAAACTGAAAATGTGGAATAACTGATATTAAGGATGCTAAGTCTTCTAATTTTTCTACACTATATATTAATATAAGCATCCGATAAAATGCTAGAGATCTATAAACATATCACTATATATAATTCAATATCAAGATGTTTATGGTAAGACTAAATACTTAATAGTCGTTGCTTGCAGTATACATGAGGGAACCATACAAATATATTTCTGCCAAGTCTAATTGTACAGCCTGAAAAAGGCAAGACTTGAGTTTGTGCCAAGTTGCATTTCCTAAAACAATTTAAAGTAAGGAAATTTAAGAGTTTAAACTTGTGATTTGAATTTTTGAAAAAGTTACAAGAGTATTCCTCCAATGTGAACTGACTGCCCAAATAACAAAAAACACATTATTTCTTTGAGAAATAAGTGATCATCTACAACTTTGAACATTAATACATAACATTTTAAGGAACACTTTAAACCTGGAGGATCAATATGTAATCAATTAAAAAGCACATGTGCAGAGATCTACCACAAGTTTTTAAAACAATTACTGTATTGCATTGTAACAAATAAGCTTGGAGCATGATGCTAGTATGGGGGTATATTTTTTTAAAGGTGATGAACAATAGAAATAAGGTGGAAAATATGCATAAGGTCTGTTTATAATAAGTAACAACCTTACAAACTTTTTTTCACCTTTGGGGTTTCTTTTTAGGTAAAAAATAACCACAATTTTAAGTTCTCATGTAACTACTATTAGATCTCATAAAAAAGAAAACAGTGGCAGTGAGAACTCACAAAAAAAAATCAATAAATACAGGAACCAATGAAAATACTTACAGCAAATTTCACAACAAATATGTTCAATGACTTGCTAACATTTGCAAAGAATTGTACTGACTGAAATATATTTTAATCACTGAGCACTGTAGCTAGCAAACCAACTTACTTTCACAAAATAGTGCACTCACATTCTCTTACTTCTAAAACCCTAAGTTATCAAGTTACTGGGTTGCTAATTTGGGGTAATTTGGTATGAGGATTCATAGTACCAGGGATGTCTTCAGTGATAGTGGTCACTATTGTTCGAGCTTTAGCACCACCAATTGTATTAACACGTGTGATCAGGCTGTTGCGAGTAGTTCCAACAACATTACTGGTTTGAGTTCCAGACTGAGAATCTAAGGAACTACTATCTACAGTATTTTGTGGAGGTCTCGGGAGACGACGACGTAGCCACTCGTGCCTAAGGGCTGCTGATGGTGTCATTCTCAAACTTGGATCCCACTCTAAACAGCGTTTCAGAAAATCAATGAAATGAGGATCATCACACCCTTTTAAAGCTGTCACCCAGTCCTTACTGCCTGGTGGACCTCTCATTTTTCCTCGCCGAGATTGACCACCATTAAGCACAACTGTGCCATCAGCTACAACTGTAGTACTACAATAACGTGGATAACCTTTTGAGCTAATAAAGTTCTTGGCACGTTTTGACTGGTCCAGAAGTTTTTGTGGTGGCATACCCAACAACTCAATCATACAAGCCAGCTGGTCTCCTTCATCTTCTCCAGGAAGAAGGGGATAGCCTGTCAAAAGTTCAGCAAGAATGCATCCTAAACTCCACATATCTATTGGCATCCCATACTTTGCTCCAAGGATCACTTCTGGTGCTCTGTAAAATCTGGACTGTATATAAGTATATACTCGTTGATGTTCATAACAACTTGAACCAAAGTCTATCACTTTTATTCCACTACGTCCCTGCTGTTTTAACAACACATTTTCTGGCTTTAAGTCACAATGTATAATTTTATTTCGATGCAAGGTATCCAAACACTGAAGCAAAGAATGAGCAAACTTCCGAACAAGTTGTAAACTGAATCCTTGAAACTTGTTTTTCTTGATGAGTTCATACAGATTAATACTGAGTAATTCAAAAGTTATACATATGTGATTTCGGAATGTGAAGTGTTCCAACATGTGTATTAAATTCATAGTATTATCTTTGTCCTGTTTTCTTAGATGGTCTAAAATACGAATCTCTTCCTGTGCTTGCCGATGGAAACGTTTTTCATTCCGAACCATTTTTAAAGCTACCTGTTGGTGGTTCTTATGGTCGTAAGCTTTTATTACTTGGCCAAAACTCCCCTTACCTATAATTTTTAGCATTTCATACCGATAAGCTATATGATCATGAGGAACATGAAGATAAGAACCCTGATCATCATCATAACCACAGTTACTTGGAGCCCCAATGACTCCTTGGCGTTTCTTAGCATTGGCACCGATGAAATATATTTGATGATAACTGAAAATTTCATGGTGTTCATAAGGAGTAAGTTTATGCATATATAATTTCATTACCTGTTCTGGTGTAGCCACAAGAGTTTTAGTTTTGGAAGGTGCATTTTTGTTACTGACATTGGTATTACTGTCCACAGATGTAGCTGGACGAACTTCAGGAAGTTTAGTAACCGATCCTCTCGTAATAGTGCTACTAGTACTAGTTGTAATATTAGTATTACTACTAACATTAGTGCTGTCGCCATGTTGCGTTTGTGCACGATTTGAAAGAGGTTGAAATAACTGTTGCACTTGTATTGTATCTTGATATCCCGATTTAAATCCTCCAATTGTCTGACTTTTAATAGGCGGGAGATTGACGTTGGTAAATTTTTCAGGAATATTGGAGAGAAAGCCATCATTTGATGATGTGCTCGACGAGCCATTAATGTTGGCGATCAATGATCTTGTTCGAGAGAGTGGCATGCTTGTCTGAGATTTCACCCTTGTGCTTTTAGACATGGCCTAAGCCTAACAAAGAAGCTAGTTTTTACTAGCCTACAAATTGTGGACCAGATAACTGTTTTCGCTGACATTGAGGTTTTTCTTGCAATGCACCTTAGCACAAACTCAACACAATAAACTATATAACAGAAACGTGCTTCGTTCGGTCCCCATCCCAAGTTCACCAACACGGTAACAGTAGACTGCTATTCTGTCATCAAGGCTGTTGCTATGCTGCACGCTGAGTTAGCACTAGAAACGCGTCATTTCTCTGACGTCATAAATAGTCGACCAATCAAAATATAATTGTAAAGCAAACTTAATCAGCTGACACTGATAAAGCTGCTATATGTGCGTTACAAAAATCTAAAAGTATCAAATACAATAAATGTGAAATTATATATTTCAAGCAACAACTTATTTCATTGCGTGTAAACCTGTTTTTTTTCATCGTTATCTTACCTGTATATGCATATTCAGTTAGTTTGAAATAAAAGAGCCCAGTATTCTGTGTTAAATTTTGATGTATCTTAAAAATAAATGTCACTTTTAAAGTAATTCACGCAGAGAACTATTTGTTAGTAAAATTGGTTACTGTGGACTTTTCTTTTTCTTTTAGCTTTGTAAATATCAACGTGGTAAGTCCAAAGACTTTGTTAATTTATAAATTTATTTTTAATTCGCTTACTTTTGATCAAGCGTTGTTAATAACAAATAAGGTTCAAAAGTACTTTTTAAATTAATTGTGGTGTATACTTATCCAAATTATTTCATGCAATATTCGAATTTCTACGCAAATGTTTGTCACATTGAAATTATGCATCATATTATAAAGTGCAAACGTGTAATATTAATAGCATTTGGTCCAAAAATGCTGCAAAATAAAACACTAACTTCAACGTCCAGTCGTTCTCGTTAAACTCTGATCAACTAAACTGCTCCAAGGAAACGACGACTGAAGTTATAGCCTAAGGGAACCTTAGGTTTTGGAATGGTGCCTGCTCGTAGGACTGATCCATTGTGAGGCTTGCTGGAACAGTGTGAGGGGTGTGTGTAACAAAATTCACATAACATCCAAAGAGAAGAGGTTGACGGCCGAGGTCTGGCGAGCGGCCATTTCACGAAATAGGTAGATGAACTTGTGTAAAAGTCGGGGTACACACAACCGTGGCTCTATTGATGCTTCACACTCAAGCAACAGATTGTATTGAAATTTTCTGTTTTTAGATCCAGAAGAACTATTTTAATATAAAGTTTAGTACTACTTTGCATATTTAACGCCAGTGAATACTGATCAGTATTACTGATAATTCTAAACTACAAACGTTTATTGACAATCTTTAACATTAGGTTCCTTGTTTGTCAGTTGCATTTATACTGATCAGTGAATTTACTATTTCATACGAAATAATAATCACTTTGGGCTTAAAACAGCCCTATCAAATAACTTAATAAATAAGAACTGGTAGATTTACAATTAGTACTCCCCCTCCAGTGTTTTTACTAACAGCTATAGACACTCGACGACACGCAAAAACAAACAAAAAACAGATCGGACCAGAAACTCACTGCCTATTTATAAATTTTATAGCACATTGATATTCTTAACTCAATTAATACCGACCTTCAATCACATAATATCATGAAAGATTTAAATACAAATTCACCCTTCCCATCAAAGACAACTTGAGCCATTCTGGCGTTCAAACTTGAGCTTGAACCAGGAAATATGATCTCTTGAACTTATTACAAGCTTATCAAAGCTTCAGATTATACAAAAAATAATCTTCCAATAAGCTTTGTCTGTTATTCACTTCAAATATCTATAATTTAAAATACTTGTTAGCAAAGCAACCGTGATTACGGTTGCATTTTTATAATTTTATCTTCATTTTTTTATTTTCAATGAGCTATCTGTGCTATGCTCATCACAGGTATCGAAACTCAATTTTTCGCTTTATAAGCCCTCAGACTATTAAATGTGAATACGGATTCACCAAGACATTTTCTAATAAGCTTTCTATATAGACAATATTTAAAACTGTTTTCGATCTGCTTGGTGAATGGTTCTCCAATGGAACCACGGTAAGTCTCTGGATTTACAACGCTAAACTCAGGGATTCGATTACCCTCAGTGGACATAGTAGGTAGTGCGAGGTGGCATAAAAACACACCCCAAACAAACTTGGAGTATGATAATACAGTTTTATAACGGTTAATGGAACCCCACAGTTTTCATGGATGTATTGCTGGTTCAGATATGGGTCAGTTGTTCTAAACTTTCGATTTTTGTTTATTTGCAATTAAGCACAAAGCTACACAATGAGTTATCTGTGCTCTGCCCACCACGGGCATCGAAACCCGGATTCTAGCGGTATAAGTCCCCAGACATACCGCTGTGCCACTGGGGGGCGAACCAATAGGTCCCTTGTTGTTCTAAAACATTGTTATATATAGCTATATATTATTCAAAATACAAAACAGTTACTTTACGGTTTTAGAGGTTTTAGAATCAAGGTTTTAGAAGACAATTCATAGTAAAAAACCTGAGCTGAACATAGCTTAAATATCACCTATATCTAACCTTCTAAGCACATGATTGCCTTTGAGTTGCATAAATTTCAGTAAGATAAAAGTGAAGAAGGAATAATAGTTTTCGTTGCAGGTAACAGGGTTCAATGGAAATCAACTTCGTGTAATACGCGAAAAGTTGTTACAAAGTTTTGACCAATCTGTGTATATATATAGTATGTTTTGGCAGTGACTGATCCTAACCTTTAGGCATTTTCCACCGGCGGTGAAGCTTAGAAAATATCCACACTAACGTTTTCTTTCAAAATAAAACTAACCATTTTACTTAATAACTAAGGTTTCAGTAACGTTTCTAAAGTTTTTAAAAAAAGAAAAGGATATTGGTTTTTCCCACTAGATGACAGCACTAGATAAGTAGAGTGTCATGATGATGGAACAACATTTTTCACACAAGATCGAAACTTCTGGAAAGAAACAATTTTTGACTACTTTTAGTATTGACATTGTAGAATTATCATTTGGTTTAATTTCTAATATGTAAAGATAATCTGGTCAGTTTTAAAGTGCACCACAAATCACATAGAAAAGAGATATTTTAATTAAAATCTGGCATAATTATGACATTATAAATTACTAGTTAAGCTTAACATTGTTAGTATTGTTGAGCTTGGTTTACTGTTCATATTACTTTACTGTTACAAGACTGCAGTACAGGGGCTTCGCCAAAAGGGGTTGCCCCCCAGTGGCACAGCGGTATGTCTGCAGACTTACAACGCTAGAAACCGGGTTTCGATACCCGTGGTGGGCAGAGCACAGATAGCCCATTGTGTAGCTTTGTGCTTAATTAGAAACAACAACCAAAAGATAACAAAAACTTTTTTATGCTGCTTTTGACATTATATTGTATTCCTTGATTTAATATTTAACATCACATGTCATTTTTCTGCAGAAATATATTTTTATATCGTTTGTTTTACTTAATAATTATCTATAAAAGGTTTATTCACTGAATTTCTCGAGCTTTATGCAAATATATAAATACAAAAAAAATTGAAAATTTTGGTATTCAAGGAGCTAGCCACCCCCTCGACAAAATGCTGGGGAGCGCCTGCAGTAGTATTGTTCAGTTTTAAGAAGAAATGTTTATTATGGTTTGAGAGCTTTTTAAAGCCTGGCGAAGCATAATTATAACCAGATGTACTTCCGCATGGTCTCCGAAAGTATTCTGTTTCAAGAGTAAATAAAACCAAAATTAAGAGTAACAAATTTTATTTCTTGCTTTTGAAGTTCATCTGTCATGCTGTGTTGTAGCCTACAGACTGCATAATCCTTCTCGGGATTAATAGCATGCGCATGTTTTACTGACGTCATTTTAGTGTCTACTAACTGACAGACAACGCATTACTTTATTGTGGTGCGAGTGCTTAAAACAGGTGACCCCTTCAGGCGGCCATCGGTTCCCTTTCGGGGAAATTGTACTTGTCATAAGACAATAGTATTAGGCTTATGTGGTGTTTGAAAATATAATAGGCTTAATACTAATGCCTTATGGCAGGTATGATTAAAAGTTGTGTTTCTCAAAAATTAAAGCCCCCCCCTCAGTTAAATAGATTATTTAAAAATATAAAATCTTGAAACCAGCCGTTATTATTTTTATAGTTATCAAGCTCTTTCTCCTTCAACTCACTTAAATTTACTGTCTCCGCAACATTCAAAGGCAACCCATTTCAAAGGCCAACTAACCTGTTAGAAAAATAAAACTATCTTAGCTGAAGATGACTCCTACTTTGCCAAAATTTATACTTATATCATCCAGTCCTACTATTCTCACTGTTAAGTATGAAAAAAGATGATGCATCAACACTATCAATTCCCCTTACGATCTTAAACACCTCAATCAGATCTCTTCTACCTCTTCTTTTTTTTTTCAAAAGAAAATAGTTTGAGAGATCTCAACCTCTCCTCGTATGACAACCTCTCCATCCCAGACACCATTCTAGTGACCCTCCTCTGAACCCTATCCAACAATTTAATATTTTTCCTAAAGTAAAGAGCCCAAGACTGAACACAATACTCCAAATGTGACCTAACCAATGACATATACAATGAAATTATAACCTCTTTAGACTTGTATTCAATATATCTGTAGATACAACCAAATTTCTATTTTACCCACCACTAGCAACAACACACTCATTGGATAGCTTAAGAGACTGACAACCATCACACCAAGATCACTTTCTTTCATAATACTGTTAAGGTTATTCGCACCCAAACTATACATATATTTCAAATTATGATAACCCAAATGCATTATCTTGCATTTATTATAATTTAAACCCATTCGCCATTATTTTCTCAACTCACTAAATGATCTAAATCCTTTTGTAAAGCAACAGCATCCTCCTCACATCTATCAACACCCAAAACCTTGATATCATGAGCAAATTTAAGTAATTTATTGCCCATTCCTTCATCTATGACATTGATGTAAATCAAAAAGTCCTAAGATTGAGCCCTGAGGTACCCCATTTGAGGCATTTATCCAGTTTGACTGAACTCCATTTATAACAACCCACTGCTTTCTTCCATCCAGCCACTCTTCTATCCAATTAGCTAACTTATCCCCCACACCTATAGAGATAATGTTTTTACAAGCCTTTTCTGTGGCACCTTGACAAATG